AACTTATGCTGGATTCCTGAACCCGTGGAGTATTTCTTACTCTTCTCATAGTATAGGTTGGGGAATTTATATTTTGACACTTTGTAGTTGCCAGTTATTCCATAGATTGTTCTTTATGGTCTGAGAATGGAAGTGATGTAAGTTGGTGAAATATCGGGAAAGAAGCCACTGCCCGAGAGGAGACTAGTACTGATTTAGTAGACCTTTTACTTCAGAGAAGTTCTCGGTGATGTTGCCATCTCAACAGGACACATATTGTTTCATGCTACGCGACTTATGGTTGAGGCCCTCTACTCATCTTGTCGGTGCAATTATTGGGTTCGAATTTACTTTGGAAATTCCAACTAACATACAGAGGAATCTTGATTTATTGGTTGGATATTTCGGTCTACCAAATACGTCTTGAGGTGCTGTTGCCGAATCTACAGGGCCATAGTGTGGTTGCGCGAGCTTTAAAAGGTTAAGGAATGCACTGGAATGGGTCATTAGTTGATAAATAATGCAATCTTTCATTACATCTAAAGGGTGATCACCTTCCGGCGTATGATACCGCAAGATTGATTTTATCTGATGTTGGGGTTTACTCTCCTTCTATTGACTTTAGACCAGTGATTACTTTTTCCTTGTCGGACTTTGTCTTGGGATTCCATGCTGCCTGTCATTCCGCAATGGGGCTACTATGGCAAATGATTAGATTGCTCGAGTACTTCAGCAAAGTGCTTGTACATGGACCGGCACAGCCAAGTACAAAAATTGCCACCTGAGTTCTTCATAAAAGGATTAAGGGGTGCATGGTAGACCTCTTAAGTCTTCCCAGTGGATGAAAAGGGCCACCGGGAAATAAAGCCGACAAGGCAGGTGTTCACGTTAAGCACTTAGACATTCTTGTTCGTTATAAATAAACAGTATTTACAAAGCAAACAATATTAGTGTAGCGTATAAATACCATGAATATACAGAAAACTATGAGTTTTTAAGGTTTAGGGGAAGATATCTCGAAGAAGAATGATGATATGTCTGGTGTTAGGCCTTTATTTTAAAGTTTATAGAACATTTTATAATTAAAAGTCGATAGATAACATAATAAACTTTATTAAAAAAGTTTCTTCGCACTATTATCATTTTCAAGCTTTATGACATGATATCTGGAAAACCTTTCAAATTTTCTTTGCCTGTATAATTAAAAATTAAAACAACCTTTCGTAATTTGATCTTCAAATACACATTAAATCACTTTGAATCATCGCTTAATACTGTATGTGGAAATCTTCATCACATACGAGATCTCAAATTCAAGTTTTTATTGCTCATACATATGTATATCCTGTACAAATTTTGTTTATCACTGTACTTCAGCATTTAAATCCCTTTTTTATTGCGTTTACATCCACATGTCAGTAATTCCACTAAACCTCGTTGATTGTAGCATTTAGTGCTCTGGTATTTATTGTTAAATGTATTACTTTTTATATGGCATATGCAGTTCTTTTTCTCATGCTACAACAAATGTGTCAAAAATTGTTATTTAACATATGAAAATTTACACAAATATTTGTATAAAAATTATGTAACAATTATATTTATTATAAAAATTTGAATTACAAAAATAATTTATAAATAGAGAAAACTTATTTAGTGTATCTGAAAGTCTACCTTGATTGATATTAATTATTTTAAGTTATTTTTTGCTGACCAAACAAAAATTTGTCCCATTGAATACTAAAATATGTTTGATGACCAGATAAAAAGAATGTTAAATGGGACATCAACGATGCAATAAAAGTTTCAATTTCGTTTTTGAAAATTAAATTAAAATTATATTGTTTTAAAAAGTAAATTTAAGTCAGGTTTATGTACGTTAAACATAAATCAGGTATTGAAATTTAACTATTATTTTTATTTCATATTTCTTTTGCAGATATCAAAATATCGGCTGTTATATCCATATTCTGGGAACTTATGAAATTATAAGATAATCTACCTTAATCCATCTGTTCGTCCGCTTATCTGTCAATTTCAAGTTCTTAGAAATCACATAATAAAATATAGAGTAATTTCGGACCTTTTTGATTATAAATTATTCCCAGAAACTCCTAGATTAGGTTACATTGAAGAAGAAGGATGCCAGGGAGAGGGATGTCATTTGGTTTAGTTGTGATACTGTTAAAAACTTGTGAATTTTGTGGTACTCGGGAGGACCATCCGTAACATTTATCAAATTTTATTATATTCGTAAGTGGTACATTTTCGAAATGGTGAAGATCAAGAGGTAGTCCTTTATCAAGATAAATATCTTAATCTTCACTCTTGTTAAGCAGGGAAATTGTTTAGAAAGTGTTGGACTGACACTTTTTCGTTTACTTAACATATTGCTCAAGTGTCAGATTTATTTTCTGTAAAAGATAAGGCCAGAATACCTGGGGTATTTCTGAAAGTTATAAATGGTGTTCAAGCTTCCATCATGTTCAAAACTGGAGAACCGTTTATATATTTCGATAATGTTCTGAATTGAATTGGAACAGGAACTGAATGTAATTGAGAAGACAATTTTATATTATTACATTGGAGTTAAGAGACTTGATACTGTCTTCGTAGCTATTAATAGTCGACGTCTCGAGATGTCGTAGAAAAATAGGTCAGACTAGGTAAAATGTCTTTGCAATTAAAAAACACTCTGAAAATAGGTAAGACTAGTTTTTATGATCGCCCTAAATATCCAGTATATTATGAAATGAATGTCGAAGTGCTTTGCCTTTGCCCGTATTGACCTGATTTAACGGTGGCCTTTTTCAACCACTGAGTGAGCTTCTTTGAGGACTCAGCATCTTACACGCAGGTGGCAATTTTTGTACATGGTTGTGCCAGTGCATGTACAAGGACTTTGCTCAAATAGTCGAGCTATCTAATCTCTTTCCATAGTAGCCCGGTTCAGGAATGACAGTTATCATGAGTTAAGCTCAATCAAAACTCGACAAAGGAAAAGGCAATCACTGGTTAGAGTCGATAGAAGAGGCAGACATCAGGTGAAATCACCCTATACTCATCATCTAAAGACTCACCCCAATGCATTCCTTGACCTCTTAAGGTCGCCCCACCACACTACTGAGACCTCTCTGTTGTTTCGGCAACAGGATCTAGGGACGTAAACATAGATTAAATATAGATCTGGTTCGAAAACACAGATCTATATTATATTTAATCGGAATTATTTTAGTGGCCACAAGGACCTACTGTGATAAGTTGAGTATGTTTTAGAGTAAAATCCATCACACTAAACCATGAAGGAAAATCGCCGATAAATTAAATATTAAGGTATTAACAACTCCGCCAATGTCTCAACCAACTCCTCCGCCACTTCAATTGTTACTCCATCCGTTACTCCGACATCTCCACAGATAAAAACAAGGAGCGGTAACAGAAATTTATATTTCAACGTGTATCAGTCTTTTAACCGAGGGTGCTTGGGTTTAAACCACAGCAACTACGTGGATCCCGAAGAATCTCAACCAACTGACCAGCCAGGACAAAGTCCTGCGGCAAATGGTCGCCCGCAGTACCAGATAATGTGGTGCTCTGGTTCGATTCCATGTCAAATCATTCCAAAGACAGGCCGAGGATACATTTGATCATCACCAGTTTATAGTCCCGGCAGACTATAAGTACAGGTAGCACCTCTATACCCCGGGAATGCAATACATCAAGGAAACATGCCCCGGGGGAGTATATAATGAAATATTTAAGACTCCTTACATTCTGAATTGTGAGATTTCATATACCCTTGTCAAAAGTACCGATTTTCCTGGACAATAATAACAGTTCGCCAAAGGTTGATTCCATGAGAAAAATTATAATTGATAAGTATCGTGCCTTCGAAATTAAAAAAATATTTCAAAATTTCAGATATCACTTATTAGCAGAATTTAAGACTTGAATTCGACTTATTACGTGTGTAAAATATAAAATTGAACACAATAAATAAAGTGAGTAAGACAGCGAACTAACGAACAAGAAGCCAATGTTCGTATTCTCTGTCATCGATTTTTTTAAAAGAAACAACCTTTCAACTCCTTATTTGGAAGAACTTATATAAGTAGTTATTTGTAAGCTAGCGTGGTAAGTACTTGCCTCCAATGTCATAACCGTGTTAAAATCATGAGTAAAAATACTAATGAATAAGTAGTGAAAAGCGGATTTTTGCAGCATTTTATCTCATTACTTTTCAATCTAAATTTTTGTCGGGTATGTGTAATATTCCGTTTAGATGAATAAAAAATTCTTACTAATTTCGAGTTATTAATCAGCAATCATCTACTTTACATATAACGTAAGCAGCTTAACTCATCTAAATCAATTTAATCATGTTCTTACAAGAACAACAGTAAAACTATGATCTTACAATATTTTCCTCTGTATTTATTGCTGACATTATATGTTAAACTGATAATTATTTCTCCATTAAAATAGTCTATATTTTATAATTACATTTAGATCATTATTAATCCATCCACTCATATACAAATGGTCGACATTTAAATGGCAAAAAGACAGAACTAGTTTCTGTTGGAAATTGTTCCAATTATCAACTTTTACTGAACTAATTTTTATCAAGTAGTCGTCACATTTTCTTCATCACTTGATTTATGTTCTACAGATCGCCACAGTTGGCCACATTCAAACACAAATACGAGCATCCATTTATAAATACTACCTGTCCGGAATAGTGCGTACGAATGGGGATGTGAAGATAAATTGTATGTGTATGTGAGTGAGATACTAGATAAAAAGATTAATTCAAAAAAATCTCAATAAATTTGCAAACACCTGACATGGAAATATCCACTCGTGCACATTTATTGTACATTTGTACAGACACTGGTGGACGTGTATGGGAATTAAATAGAACATGTAGATTTGAAAAGTACGTGCATAACAATTCCATTGGTGTCAGATAACATTGAGGTCAATGATCATAAATATGCCAAATTGAAGAAGAAACATACCTGATCTGGTCTTAGTCCTGGTGGTACCCAAGTATATTCCTCTAAAGCACAACCACTATCATCATCTGAGTGGGATTGCCGTTGCATATCCAAATGTTGACCTACCAAAAAAGGAGGATGAACACCAGCAACGCCAACACCACCGCCAGTGGGATGATGCAGCAGAGAGGGCGGCGATGGTGATGAAATTGCTGGAGACAGCTGATGTGGTGGTGGCGGTTGTTGTTGTTGTTGTTGCTGTGGATTGTGAGAATGAGGATGATGAGGATGCTTTAGTGACGATGATGAGTATTTGGAGATTGATGAAGATGCCGATGCCGCAGGTGAATACTGTGATGGCTGATGTGGCAATGTATTTGAAGATAATTGTTGCTGTTGCTGCTGATGTTGGTGCTGTAGTTGTTGCATTTGCTGTTGATGCTGTAGATGAGGTGGCAGATACTGATGAGGATGATGGTGATGATGCTGTTGTTGCTGCTGCTGTTGTAGCTGTTGATGTGGTGGTAATGGTGGCAAATGAGATGTCTGTTGTTGTTGTTGTTGATGTTGCTGTTGAAATTGACGTTGCATGGGCAATGGTGATGTTGGCAAACCTGCAACTGCTGAGGGATTGTATAAAGCTCCAGCCGATGAGCTACTTGGCATTGGCCCCGTTGACGATGTTGATGATGACGGTGATGCGACATTGCTGTTGCCAAGATGTCTTAAACTGCCCAATGGTGGTAGAGGCGGTGGCGTGTTTGAACTTGCCGCCGTACTTCCTCCTGCACTTGGTGAAAAGTGACGCGGCAATGTTGGTATTTTTTGTAAATACGACACCTGGGTTAGCGGCGTTCGACTGATGGGCCTGAAAGAAAAATCCCAAGAAAAAACGTGATCAATGTTCGTTTACATATAAAAACAGCGCTTAAAAAAATTTTATAAAAAGATTAATGATGATCAAAACTACGCGTCTGCGACAAGATTAGATAAATTGTCTATTAATTTAAAAGAAAATGAAAATATTTTATCTTGTAATAATTTAAATTTAAATGGTTGAACCATAACAAATTGAAACTTAATTAAAATGTACACGTGAGTAATTTATTTAATTTGATTATAGTAAAAAAAACTAAAACAGGTATTTTATTTAATAAGTTTGAAGGTTTTCAAGACAGAAAATTATTTTGTACAGATTTGTCATATAATGACTTTTAGTTTTATTAATCACAGTTTTATTCGATTAACATGTTTAATCGATATTCATTACAAGTTTTAAGACGTGTATTGAAATTTAATGTATTTTAATTTAATTCTGTATGAAGTTTATCTTTAGGATGTAAGTAAGAACTGGTAGGTAATTAATTTACAAACTATTTTATACTACAAGGAAAAGTGAATCGGTACCATTGACAAACTACACCAGTTAGAAGTTAAATTGGAAACATTTTAGTCTGCTTTATTTATGGGCTACAGAATATTACAAACCCAACCTCTCGGAAATGGTCCTCTACAGAAAACAACATTAAATGTTTAAATGAAACCTCGATTAATGTTCGTGCTCTGGTTATAATTTGGTGTCCCACTGATTTGAGCAGATGGAAGTGCTAAAGTTTTGTTGATTTATTTGAATTCTGTATTAAATTTTATAAATTTGTTTCAAAATTTAATAAATATTGTATATTTTTTATACGTATTATCTTTACAGCTTTCTGTTTATTTGCTGGTTTTAAAACCATTGTTATCGTAATAATTCATGAAGAATAACAGGACATAACTTGTAAAATAAATAAATTGTGGGAAAAATGGTCAAGAAGCAGTAGTTTTTATAGGGTGTGTTTTATCAGCAAACAAAACCTCAAAGATTTAGAAGCTATAAAATTGCATTAAAACATTTGGCCACTATTCAAACAATTTGTATTGAAAAAGACAGAGATTTCAAAGAATAAGATCCATTATGATTCCTTTCGTAAAGTGTGAAGATTCAAAGATAGAGAAATAAACCTGCAGAAGAAAACTAAAAGAAAAGAAAGAGATGGGAGAATAATAAACGGATAAATTCCCTAAGAACCAATTGTGAGAGAATCGGAATATCCCTATAAAACCCAAAAAGGTTGGCCCCAAAATGTAAGTTGCTGAGGTTCCCACCGAAAATCAAAATTTGGTTCATTCTAAGATACCATTTCTCGAAAATTTTGTCCTGACGCACAGTGGTATAGGAAAAAAAAGAGGTAAATAATTCGGTAACTTCTAAACGGTTAATCCGATTTTAATAAGGTTAACTCTTAAATTTAACTCTTAAATAATAGTGCTAGGTAAATTTTCTAAAAGATGTTGAGTTTTCCCTAATAATTTCCCTAATGTTTTTTATTCAGTTTTTGCGAAGATACAAATTTTTCATATTGCAATAAAAATTTTATTTATGAATATTTTTTGATGAAATTTTACAGTTAGGTAGATTTTTTTACTCAAAATCCAAAATTAAATAAAAATTTCGAATTTTCTTATTAGAAATCCCGGAATTCCCAAAAAAGTTTTAAAAAATCCCAAAAATGGGATTTTTTGGTTTTTTGCCTATTATATCCATACCAGGGGCGGGGTTATCGAAACCCGTTACAAAATGATTAAGAACATATTGGGTCATATAAAACAGGTCACTATAATTTGATATCGACTATGCGATTTGAGAAATTTTGCTCAAAATTGAATTTTCCATAAAAAATAGGGTTTTTTTGGATGGAGGTTTTGTTTCATTTATCATATTTTATGTAAAGTCAGCTTTCCAAAAAGTATAAATTCTATATACATCTTCTTATAAACTTTTTAGATAACTTAAAAAGAAAAATATACTTTTTTCCCAAAAAAATGACAAAAAATCGCCTTTTTTTAATTTTTTAAATTAAAATGCCTATAACTTTGGACTCAGTCATGATTTTTACATAATTCTTTCACTGCTTGATATATAAACTTGTTGTTAAGCGAATAAAAAAAATGGCGAAAATCGGGAATATTTGGACCCGCTATTATCAAAAAACTGAAGTAAGGACGGTAAAAATTTTAAAATTTTAATTTTCAAATGCGAATATCTCCTAAACTATAAGGGATAATTTACTGCTACGACGACATTTTTTATAGTGCTCGATGAGGAGATTCTATATACGAATTTTTTTTAAATCGGAACTGAAATGAAGAAATAGGATAGTTTTAAAAATTTAACATAGCCGAGGTGTCCTAATTTGAGGACCCCCCGCCGGGCCCCTGGTTGGCCTATAAGGTCCAAATTCAAAACCTAAACTCGACAACACCTCCTCTTTGTGCATACCAAAATCGGATTAACCGTTTAGAAGTTACCGAATTATTTCCCTCTTTTTTTTCCTATACCGCTGTGTGACGTCAACATAGCACAATTTTGTATACAACTCCAAAATTATTACAAATATTGTTACTTTAACAACTTGATGTAATGCACACCCGCTTACAAATAAGTACTTAAATAAGTCATTACAAAAAGGGAAAAAAGAATTCATTATTTTAAAGAATTTCTTCAACTACAATAATGTAGTAAAATCCCATGTATCCATGCACAAACATTTGTACAAAATACGAGAATTTTGATAAAAATGTCAATACAAATGCGGGCGTTTTGTTAAAAATAACATTGTTTTTATGGTCGAAACACAAACCTTAACTTTAGCCATTCTCATACTCGCGAAATATTTTTTCGTTCAATTGTATCTAAATACAATGTTGTTGATAGACAAAAATACATCCGTGGAATTGTGTACATGTGCAAATACATAGAAATGTTAAAATTAATGTAGTTTTAACAATAATATATGGGAGTGCATCCATTGTTTATTGTCTGCAACATATCAATTAGGAGGATAACTTTTTTTTAGGTTTTTTTTTTAGTTACCAAATCGGGACAATTCATGAAGTTTGTGTTCAAACTTTAGTTTTATAAAGTTCTAAGACCTACAGGGTTCTATAAAATGTTTATTTTATTTTTAATCGCACTCTTGTTTACCTTGGTCTAAGTACGAAATTTGGTTACACTTCTAATGTCCATGTTAGAGTGATTTTTTTCTCAATAGTTTTCAGTATACATACACATGTCTGCAATTTTATTTCTTCTAGTTCGCTTAACATTTTGATGTGTCAATATTATTGCAGGCGGTTTTTGTGGTTTCAAAGCAATTAAATATGGAATTCATTGTTTTTTTTTTTATTGTTATACTCTTTATCAGAATGTTTAGGCTATATGTATATGTATACTATGTACATAAGTTTGTCATTCTGTTTGTAACTTCCTTTAATTTTGGGGCATTATATAGTGTAATATAATGCACAAAGGGTAGTCATCTTGTGGCGATGTGAAGGCTTAAGTGCAATGAATCCTATGGGTCATGCTGACGGAGCCAGCTCTGCTGTGATAGGTCAATTGGTAGAGCAGTCCGACTGAATCCCTAGTGGATTCCAGCACTTAAAAGTGCATGTCCGAAACCCATCAAGCGTCTGTTCCATATTGGTCGGCTTGATGGTCTGTTTTATCCCAGAGGGACGACAGCTTTTGTGTCCTGGTAGTAGGCGAAAAATGCGAAAGCAAACACCAAACCTTCAGTTTTGGTGCGAGGCATTGCCCGTTGTGGCAAGTACCTCTCATCCGCACCTCCCCGTATGCTGGAATAGTCGTCGAACTCGATGTCGGGCTCTTCCAGTGTACCATCAGCAGATTCCCAACGGCACAAAACAGCTTCTCGTAGGGCTTTTGCACACCGGCGAACGCATTGTTGAGCGTCATGGCGCCAAGCCCAGCAATGCATTGTCCAAGGACGAGAAATTGTCTCTTGATTGGGCCAAAAAGACAAAAGGACTCAGATCCTTCAGCTAACGCAGAAGTGACTAAGTCTGCTGCTGAGGCGCCTAAACGGCAGAGATCCGAGGAAGATTCCCCTTCTTTGTCGAATATTCAGCCGACGAATAAACGTCCAAAAAAGGCGCAAACTGTCGTCGTTAATAGGCCTTTCATTGAGGTTGCCAAAAACCCACAGGCAAGGACTATTATCAACAGGAGCAACAGTGACGAATGCTTGGGGTGTATTGGAAAATCCCGCCTCTCCAAAATTATGATGCTGGATGGTTCCAGGGTCACATAAAACTGCTGCTTGTTCGAATTAGCGCTCTACGTTACTTCTCAAGCTGGCGATTGATTCCCTTGGGGAAGTGTGGACAGGTTCTAAGTTGGACGTGGTCTCGGTATGTGAAATCCCTTGCAGACCGAGATCCATTGCCTTCATGTCAACTGAGCCACACGACCCGGCGGAGATTCTGGCGCTCCTTCGGAGCGGAAACCCTCCTTTACCTGTCCATGATTGGAAGGTGGTGAAGGTATCCGAACCGATAGGAGCTATCAGAAAAGCGATTGTGGCCCTTAACAAAGAGTCCGTATCGCCACTGCGAGAGTGCAGAAGCAAAGTGTACTATGGTTTTGATAGTATCACTCTCCGTATCTACTTATAAAAGCGGGAAGAGAGCATAATTTATAAAATCAGTTACATATGTATTTATGTATATCGTCTAAAAGTTCGACTTCTCGACTTTAAAATAAAGTTTTAACCTCTATAATATCTTCTTCATGATGATATTAAAACTGCTTTTTAGAGCAACGGGTTTCTTGATGTAGAGACTAGTTAGTACTGCCCAACTTGACATAAAATCTTAAGCTTTAAATCGATGTATATTTTTGGTATTTCATTTTATAGATGCTACTGTTTTTAGCAAGGTTTGAATAAGTATATTTAAGATTCGTCATTGCCGAATTACGATACGATTTTTTATATGATTTCGATGTTTATTTATTCCTGTGTA